AAAAAGATAGACTGGGGGGTGGGGGGCGGGAGGGGAGGGATTGGGGTCAGAATGGGGGGGGTTGCAATTGTATGGGGGAATATAAAAATAAAATTATGTTAAAAAAATTATACTGGAATCGGAAAAAAAAAAAAGATAGACTCATGCCATTCACAGCAATTTGGATGGAGCTGGAAGGGATCATGCTCAGTGAAATAAACCAGAAAGAAAAAGAAAAATACTGGGTGATTTCACTTTTAGGAGGAATGTAAAGGATCCAAATAAGGGATCAGGAAAGTAAATAATCAGTAATTATAATAAAGTAAATATCAAAATTAGCAGGCAACTATAAACCAGAGACAATTCTACAGGGGGAAGAATGGATTAGGATCATAATGGGTGGAAGCGCATAGGTACTAGGGTGATGGTATGTGGTGAATTGGTGGTGGGAATTTCACGGGAACTATAACCGAGATGAGAAAGTAGACATTGTACAAAAATGAAGAATGTTGTAAAAAAAAAATTATAACAGTACTCCATATATAAAAAAAATAATAAAAAAGAGAGAAGGGCCTTCCTGGTGACACAGCAGTTTGAGCACAGTGCTGTGAAGCTGTCAGCAGCCTTTGCAGCATGGGTTCGATTCCTGGCAGGCCAGGGAGATGCCCACAGGGCGCAGCAGACCTCTCCTGCCTCGCCCGCTGCTCTTCTCAGCAGTGTCTTGGGTCCTCCTGCCTGTTCTGCTCCCTGCCGTGTCTCTGGTGAATTCTCTTGCCCTCCCGTGCCTGTGGCCTGTACCCCTGTGCTTGTATAAATAAATATTTAAAAACAAAAAAAAAAAGAGAAGTAAAACTTTGCATTGGGTCAGTCAGCCATTGAGGGACAGATCAGTGAGGACACCAGTGCTGTTTCTTCAGCACAGAACTTTGTTTCCAAATATGAAGAAGCCACATTAAGTAAGTCCTACCCTTTTCTTGTTTGTTGAAATTCTTTGCAGCAGAGTAGCTTTCTTGAAATTTATCATCCTTTCAAAATGTTACTACATGGCATTTATTGGTGAAATTTTGTTGATTTGTCAAGCTGGATAGAGAGGCTGTTGTTTCTCACTTTATTAAACAAACGTCGTCAACATGTCATTAATTTATCAACTTAAATTGAGAGTAGAGCTTTTCATTATTCATACTATGCAACTTTAGTTAGTATCATTTGACATTATTAAGTTCCCACTAATGGTGATTCCTTACCCCCCCTTCCTGGATAATAAATTCTAATAATAACTTGCTTCTTGCTTCCTGGGCCTTTTCACTGAATGTGAAATTTTTTTTTTAACAAAAGGTTTATTTACTGTTTGGTTTGAGATTCAAATAGCTTTTTAAAATAGCAAATACTTTGACTTGTGTAATGACTGCAATTTAAGTGTCTTCAGTTTTGCTAGATCATTTTAAAATTGTTTGCTACAGGCAATGTATTGGATACAAACATATCCAATCCAGGGAATTGGATACCCTGGATTACTAGCCTATTGTAAAAACACTGATTAATAGCTCTCATATTAAGGGTAGAGCTTTTCTTTTGTATCTCTTGTTGCACTGGTGCAGTGAAATGGCTCAAAATATTGTTACTAATCTTATTTGTTCTCAAACCCAGCTTAGAATCCTCATTTGTCACAAGTCTCATCTTCATAAGTCATCACTCTGAACTATCAGACATGTCTATAAAACATGCTAATAAATTATAAAACCACAGGTACTAATCCTTAACTCAGAACATGAAAAAAATTTGAGATCTTCACAACATATATTACTTCTATTACTTCATGATCCACATTTTATCACATTACAACAGCAAAGCAGCAGGGGGCAGCTGAGACCTATTGTGTGAAAATTCCTTGTTTAGCATAAACATTTCCGTCAGATTTCCTGTGATACCAGCATAGTATGTTTCCTCCATAAGCCAGTTGGCGCTGTATAAGGCGGAGGTTGTGGGAGGTAACTTGGACAGGAGTTGCTAACATTGTCAGCCTACTGTGTTCCCACTTGTGTAGTATAAAGTTTACCAACTATAAGTGGCCTTTCTTTGTCTGATCAAAAACTGATCATAAGTTCAGCCAAACGATGATAGCCCTACTTGCATATTGTCTTATGATGCTAAGTGGCTCCCAAAGGACTCATTAACATCTCTGTTTAGTAGTTGCACAAATTGTAGATGATATGATTAAGTACATAGAGAAGCTGAGTGAATATACCAACTATTGGAATTAAGTGTATTTAATAAGGTCACTAAATTCAAGAGCAATATACAAAAACTACAAATTTGCAAGAAAAGGTGAAATAAAATATGAAATATAATACACCATAAAATCATCCTATACTTAGTTATCTCTTCACAGAAAACTAAGTGTAGCTGCTATTATGTGTAGACTATTATTTACTCTCAATAAGTGCTCCAATTTTCTTTTATCATTCTTAACTCTTGATCTAAGAGCAAGAAACAAGGAAGCAATTTTGAATTTTTGAGGTTTTTGTCTCTTATTGCTGATTATTTTGTTGTAATAGCTTTTCACTTGACAGCCTGATGATAGCTGTGTTTTTGGCTTCTTGTTTTTGTAGCTCAGTGAAAGTGAATAGGCTTTTTCATACATTGAGTACTACTGTCTTTGAGCTTGTTCTGATTAAAAAAATTACCATTTGTTTTAAATTTAAGAAAGCAAACAGTAATACCAGTGCTAGTGCTATTTTTTTTCTTGAGCTGTATTCATTCTTTGCTTATATTTCCAGATTAACTTGACCTTTTGATAATTTTGTATTTGATTGTATTTTTGTTGCAATTTTGATTTATATTTGTAAGAGAAAAAAATTTAAGAAATTTTGATTTTTTAAAAATATTTTAAGAAAATGAAAATATCAGATTTGTTAATCATCATAGTAGAGACTATGGAATAATTATTTTGAAAGACTTGATTTGGCTGCCTTACACCAGTAAATCTACCCTTAATGCCTTTATTTCTTCTAATGTAGGCTATGTACTTCCATATCCAAAATATGCACAGAGGGGCTCTCCAGTGGTGCAGCAGGTTGAGAGCAGCGCTGTGGAGCTCTCCGCAGCCTCTGCAGCTCTGGTTCGATTCCAGGGAGATTCCCATATTGCACGGCAGACCTCTCCTGTCTCGCCCACCCACTGCTCTCAGCAGTGTATTTCGGTCCTTCTGCCTGTTCTGCTCTCTGCTCTGTCTCTGGTAAATTCTCTCACCCTCCCTCACCTCTGGCCTGTACCCAGTGCTTGTATAAATAAATAAATCTTAAAAAAGCACAGAAATATTGCATACATCCAAAATAATCAACATATCAGTGTAATATACTATATTGAACTCTGATTTGTTTGACCGCCCTTACTCAGATTTTTCTGGCTTATTGTTTTTTAAAGATTATTCATGCATGGGCCTCCCCGGTGGCGCAGCGGTTGAGCGCTGGGTTGCGAGGCTGCCCGCGGCCTCTGCGGCGCCGGTTCGATCCCCGGCTGCTCCCCGGCCACCGGAGGAGGGTCCCACATGGTGCGCAGACCCCTCCTGCTGCCCGCTGCTCCCCTCAGCAGTGTACTTCGGTCCTTCTGCCTGCTCTGCTCCCCACACTGGCTCTGGTGAATTCTCTCACCCTCCCGCGCCTCTGACTGTACCCAGTGCATGTATAAACAAAACAAACAAACAAGCAGACAAATAAATAAATGGAACATGCCTCTATTAAAAAAAATTAAAAAAAAATAAAGATTATTCATGCATACAAGAACCAGGGTACAGGCCAGATGTGCAGGAGGGTGAGAGGAGTCACCAGAGATAGAGCGGGGAACAGAACCAGCAGACTGACTGAAATACACTGCTGAGGGGAGCAGCGGGTGAGACAGGAGAGGTCTGCTGTGCCATGTGGGTATTACCCTGGCTGGCCGGGATTGAACACTCGCTGCAGAGGCTGCAGACAGCCCCATAGCGCTGCGTTCAACCGCCTGCGCCACCAGCAAGGCCCAGATTTTTCTGACTTCATGTGTGTTAATGGTCTGTACTGATACTACATGTATATTATAATCTTTTGCACAAATTAGAAATTAAAAATTGAGAAAAATGATAAGGAATGTTTAAAATAATTTAAAAATTTTTAAAAGCTCTTGCTGACTGAAAGCAATATGATTGAATATATATCACTTCTGAATATCTTCATTTAATCTTTTCTTATAAAGTGATTTCAACATTGTATTTTAAGTTTAGTATACTTGTGTGTATATATATATAGTATTTACAATATATTTGGATCCTGGGTTTTAATTGCTGACGTAACTAGAAACAAAGCCTCACAAATATAGATCTAAAGGGAAGAAAGTACTTACTAGTTTCCTATTCCTGCTGTAACAAATTACCACAAACTTAGTGACTTAAACACAAGTCCATTACCTTTTAATTTTGGAAGTCAGATGTCCAGAATCAGTCCTCTTTTGATAATCACTTTGGGTTGTTTCTAATTTACCTTTTACAAACAATGTTGTAGTGATCTTAACCACTTTTCTGTATTCTGGTATGTCTGTAGGTTAAATTCCTAGAAATGAAATTACTGGATCAAAGGGTTTAAATGCATTTGTTTATATTTCCAAACTGCCCTCACTACAACTTGTTATCAATTTGCATTCTAATCAGCAGTTTGAGAATGGGTCTATTCCTTATAGCTTCACCAGTAGTCATCAAACATGGATTTTTTTTGCCAGAGTGATAGATGAAACATACCTTGGTATAAATTGTCTATTTTTCCATATGCTTTAAGGTCATTTGCATTTCTTTTTCTGTGATCTGTGTGTTCTGTTTTTGAGTTTTGTTAACAGGTTTTTGGAGTTGTTATCTATTCTCTATAGATCTCTATCACTATATTTGTACTGCTTTCAGTAAGACTGGTTTTAAGCTCCTGAAAAGATACCTTTATTTGTAGCTATTAACTGATCTAACAGTTTAAAACTGTCTTCTAATAGTAATTTTCTCTCAATAGACGAGGCATCAGCAAGGAGATACACATCCTCTAACTTTAGAAGAAATCTTGGATGAAACACAACATCTAGACATTGGACTAAAGCAGAAACAATGGCTAATGACTGAGGTAGGACTGCGCTTAAAATATCATTAAAATATTAGTTGATTACCAGGAAATATTTGCTATAACTAGTGTTTGTAATATGCTAAAATCTGATTATTTTTACTTTTTCTTGATTTAGGATAGGGCATTTAAAAAAACATACCCAGTTATAAGTTTGGTAGATTTATTAGTATTCACATAATCTTACGTATCTATTTAAAAGTGTTAGAGACTTAAGCATAAATGTTGAAGTCAGTCATACCAATCCATTTAAAGTTTTACAGAATAACTGCTGCTTATTTTGAATTGCTAAATTTATGTTATGTGTTTGTAAGTTGTGTTGTTTTCATATTTGTTTTAGGAAACTTAAAGCATGAAGTATTACAGGGATAGCAAGATATTTTTGTTAAGCTAGATAGTGGTTACACTATTAATGTTACCATGGCTTGGTAGTGATGTTATTGCTCCCTCTGTCAGGTTACTTGGAAAAATAATTATGAACATTGTGGATTACATACAACATTGGGAAAAAAAGAAACCCCGAAACAGTGACCATGCAAACTTGGAAATGAATAGCTTTTTAAAAATCGAGATATTTGCCTCACTTTTTGTTTAACGTAAAATGACAAGAAGACTACTTGCCAGGATCATTGCTGTTTTTAAAGACTGAATGCAAAAATTCCTAAAATATTAATCAGTTATTTTATCAAGCAAATTATAGTCCTTGATTTTTATAATATAAGCCAGTTAATAAGTATTGTAGCTCACTATATTAGTGTTTCACAGATGGTGCTAATCACATTTAAATTTTGTTACTTTACCTAATCTTGGAATTTCATAGATGACTGACATTAAAGGTTATTATTACTACTACTATTTTCTCCCTCCTTCTTTCTGTGTTTTTTTCTCTTTCTCCTTTCAGGGTCAGGCTGGCAGCTGCAGAAGAAAATAAATAGGGTTGCTCTTTCTTGAAGAGCTTTCCTTCTGATATTAGCTGTACAACAGAACTGACTAGGAACATAATTATATTCAATAATTCCTGCATTCCTACTCAGTTTCATTCTCAAGCTGACATTTATAGGTAAATTTTTTATATGCACTAGTCTAGTCCTTTTTAATTCCTTTACAGCTGCTAGTGCCAGTTGATAACAGTGGGGTTGACTGATTGTTGATTTCTTTCCAGGATAATGTTTCTCACATCATAATGCCAAAATGCCATAAACTATACTTTGAGGGTGGGCTAGGCAGTTCCCAGTTCACTTTGTCTATTAATGTTAGTATGCATTTCATTCTTCTGGCTTCCAAAGAAATATGGGTACAGTTTTCTTCAAAGCAGTTGGGATAAAATGATTTATTTCTCATCCAAAGAATTTGTGTAGATAATAAGCAGTTTCTTTTATAAAATGTGAGCACCATACTGATCTCTGCCATTGTTTTGGATCCTGGACGTCCAGTATCTTTAGATCTGCTAATTAATACTCAAGATGTTTATAATTTGCTACTATATTGGGTATTGTTACTTTAAAAATAATTAGTAGAATTTAAGAATGTATATATGGTGTTTCCTTTTGTTAATATATCCAAATTGTGTCACTGTTACAGGCTTTAGTCAATAATCCAAAAATTGAAGTAATAGATGGAAAGTATGCCTTCAAACCCAAGTACAAGGTGAAAGATAAGAAGTCACTACTTAGACTCTTAGATAATCATGACCAGCGGGGCTTAGGAGGAATTCTTTTAGAAGACATAGAGGAAGCATTGCCCAATTCCCAGAAAGCAGTCAAGGTAACCCCACTTTCCTTTCTGTGATTTATTAAAGTTTGTTTAATAATGTGTTTGTGGTTTTAAAAAAGTAAAAACTAAAATATTTTTAAAGCCTCTATCATGGGATTGTGGTAAGCCAGTTGAGCTGGAATTTGTGCTTTATGCTAAAGAGGAGGACAGAATGTAGCAATTTTTATGTTCCTTTTACAACTCCCTTTTATGTTATATGATTAATTGATTCTTTAGAATATTTCTGGAAAGTTTTTGTCAAAAACAATAGTGTTTTTTTCATAAGTTATGTTTGTATCTGAGAGCTAGTTCAACAACACCGGTAGATATTGTTAACTTGAGCAACCAGAGGCATAAAAACACAAAGGTATTGATTAATAACTTGGCTGTTATAAATCTCTAAAGGAGCTATCAGTAAAAGTCATACTTAAACAATTTACATTTCCATTTTAATGTGGAACTCATGCTTATTTCTTTTCACAGTTGTTAATGATTGATGCTAATCTTTAAGCAGCTTCACTTTCTTTTGCTAACTGTGAAATAAAACTTGCCCTTTCTTGCCTCTGTTTATAATTCAGTTACACATATATTAGACCTTTGGGGTTATCTCACAAGTCTCTGAGGCTCTGTGTTTCAGTATTTTTCTATTTGTTTTTTCTTGTTCTAGACAATGTATTGTCAAGTGCACTGTTCTTCATCTCTGATTTGTTAAGCCCAATTGGTAAATTAATTTTAGAAATTGTCTTTTTTTTTCCATTCTTATTTCTGTTTCTTTGCTGAAGTTTTCTGTTTTTTCATTTATTTTAAGCACATTTTCCGTTATACTATTGAGTACAGTTTCTTAGCACTGCTTAAAATCCTCCTGATCTTATGTCTAGTTCTTTAATCCATTTTGAGTTGGTTTTTGTGTATGGTGTGAGGTAGTAGTCAAGCTTCATTCTTCTGCATGTAGCGACCTAGTTTTCCCAGCACTGTTTATTGAACAAACTTTCTTTGCTCCAGTGCATATTCTTTGCTCCTTTGTCAAAGATTAGTTGACCATAAATCTGTGGGTTTATTTCTGGATTTTCTATTCGGTGCCATTGGTCTGTGCATCTGTTCTTGTTCCAATACCATGTAGTTTTGATTATTATGGCTTTGTAGTATAGTTTGAAATCTGGGAGTGTGATGCCTCCATTCCCTTTTTTTTTTTTTTTCAGGAGGGCTTTGGCTATTCGGGATTTTTGGTGGCTCCATATGAATTTCATCAATATTTGTTCTATTTCTTTGAAGAATGACATTGAAATTTTTATTAGTATAGCATTGAATCTGTAAATTGCTTTTGGTAGGATGGCCATTTTGATAATGGTAATTCTTCCAGTTGATGAGCAGAATATTATTCAGCAATCAAAAAAGATAAACTCATACAATTTGCAGCAACATGAATGGAGCTGGAAGGGATCATGCTCAGCGAAATAAGCCAGGAAGAAAAAGAAAAATACTGGATAGTCTCACTCATAGCAGGAATTTAGAAAACCTAAATAAGGGACCAGGAAAAAGATTATAATAAAGAAAAAAATCAAAATCAACAAGCAACTATAAACCAGAGACACACTGAAGGGGGGCAGGGGCTGGGAGAGGAAGGATTAAGGTCAAAATACAGGGGGTGCAATTGTATGGGGAATATAACCAAAATGAAAATGCATTGTGCAAAAATGAAAAATGATGTAAGAATTATATAAAATAAAATACTAAAAAAAAAATCCTCCTGATTTAATTCTAATTGAATCATCTTGGGGTTGGTCTAAACAGATTCTTTTAGAGTATGGATCATGTTTTCCTGTTTCTTCAGATATCTTGTAAATTTCTGGTGAGTCTTGGACATTGTGAATTTTTTGAGTAAAGACTCAGGATTCTATTAGATTCCTTCAAAGAGGGTTTTATTTTATAAGTGGGCATATATCTTGACTATACTCAAACTCCAAACTTTGTCTCCTTGCTGTGGGTTGCATATGACATACCTATTTTAACTCTTGCATGTAATCTTTTCCATTCATGAATAGGTCAAGGCAGACAGAAATTTGAGAAGAATTTATACCCTTTCTACCTTACTTTTTTCTAGAGTTTCCCTTTTTGATTTCTGTCTGCATGGTTGCCTTGTTTTCTAGTTTTTCACTTCATAAACACTGAGGATTTCTTTCTGAATTTTAGCTGTTTGAGTCTGCCCTCAGCCATTTCTTCTAATTAAAGTCACCTCCTCCACTTTTTTGCCTGCCATTTTTTAATGAAGTATAATTTACCTGTAATGTTAATTTCAGGTGTATTACATAATGCTTTGATATTTGTACATATTGCAAAATTACCTAGCTATTTTTCATACCCATATAAAGTTACATTTTTTCAAATCACGTGCTTTGTATTTTAATTTTTTAAATGTAGTTCTTTTTTCTTATATTGTTGATTTTTTAGACAACATATGGTTTCTCCTTTCAAGTATGGTTACTGTAGTTTCCCACCATCAAGGCGCCTGTAGTCCATCACGATATTCCCTTGTGTTCTCTTCCCCCCTTTTTTCACTCCTCCTCATCTGCTCCTTCTCCCCTCCTGGATGCCTCATATCTATAGTTTGTCTTTGACCCTTTGTTTGATTTTAATGTATTTCACATAAAAGTGAAACCAAATGATACTTATCTTTTTCCTTCTAAATTATTTCATTTAGCATTATCTTTTCAGGTTCCGTTCATGTTGCTGCAGATGGCATGAGTTTATTTTTTTGATCACCGAGTAAAATTCCATTGTGTATATATACCACATTTTCTTGATCTGTTTATCTGTTTTGGGATATTTAGATTGTTTCCATATCTTGGCTATTGTAAATAGTGCTGCAGTAACAGAGTTACAGGTTTCCTTTTGAATTAGTGTTTTTGTGTTGTTTGGATAGTTTGCTAGGAGTGGAATAGCTGCGGTGTATGGCAGATGGTTTCTAGTGTTTTGAGGAACCTCTGCTTCCCATAGGGGCTGGACTAGTTTACATTCCCATTAGCAGTGTAAGAGCTTTCCTTTTTCTCTACATCCCGGCTAGCATTCGTTACTGGTTTAATATTGGCTGTTTGTGTGGTGTGAGGTGGGATCTCATTGTGGTTTTGATTTGGGTTTCTTTGATAATTTTTTTCTTATGGGGACTTTTAAGATCTCTTAGCAACCTTCAAATATGTAACACAGTATTTTTGACTATAGATATGCTATACATTACATCCCTATAACTTGTTTATTTTGTCACTGAAAGTTTTTACTTTTTGATCTACTTAACCCATTTTGCTCACCTTCTCAACGCCCTGACTCTGGTAACCACCAGTGTTCTCTGTATCTATGAGCTTGGTTGTTTTGTTTTTCAGATTTCACATTCAAGTGAAATTATATGGTAATTTGTCTTTATCTGACTTATTTCACTTCGGGTAAGACCCTCAAGATGTTGTCCCAAATGGTAATATAATTTACAGGTAGGGAGATGATACCTCCAGCTTTGTTCTTTCTCAAGATTGCTTTGGCTATTGGGGTCAGAAGTTGATTTTTTCAAATGTCTTGTACATAGTTCATATTAGCAGTAGGAGGGTTGGTACCTTACGACCTATTTGACCATTACTAGAAGCAGAATGCTCTTAAGATTTTTAACTTAACAGTGTTTAAACATAACTGCACAAATGTTATAAATAATGTCCTAAAAGTTGATATATTGTGCACTTTATAGTATGTTGAAGGGTAGTACTACTGAAGCCTAGCTTGACAGTTGAATGTTTCCTGCTCTACTCTTTTCTACCATTTTGATATGGGCTGTATTGTTACTGTGCAGTAGACTTTTCATTACATTCTAAAGTAGGACAGTGTTAAAAACTAATAATTGTATATTTTAATTAATTTTGTGATATAAAGTCATGTTAACACGCTATCTTTAGTGGCTCTTTTGCCTAATGATTTTAGCTGAAAGGTCATGAAAACATATGATTACTCATTTTCAGGCAGGCCTGTTTCCTAATTAATCAAAATCCAGTATTTTTATTTTCAAAAATGTGAAGATGTGTTTTTCAAGGGAGTTTTTTGGCATAGCTTTCTCTGTGTTGCTTCCTTCAATACTTGGTAGAGATTGAATATAACTATTACTCTCATTTTGTTGACCATAAAGTGCTTTGAAGAACTGCTCAGTGCTATCAAGGAGCCAACAAGATTCTGATAAAGCAAGAAACCAGAGAATGAGGCAAACCAGTGACTATTCTACCTTACTCATTCTTCAGTAATTTCATTTGGAGGGTTTTCTAATAATTAACTTAAAAAATTTAACTTCTAGTATTATCTTACTAGGCCAATGTGCAACTGTAATATGACACACTAATTTTAAGGTGACGTGTTGAATCAGCTCTCTGTAGGAGTGATTTTTTTAATTGTAAAAACAAGACAAATTTAACACCTTAAGCATTGTTAAGTGTACAGTTTAATAGTGTTCAGTATATTCACATTGTTTTACAAAAGAATTCTAGAACTTACGCATTTTGTAAAAGTGAAATATTTCTTTGAATCCTTACTTTCAATAGCTATTAATGACAGTTCCTTTTCTCCTCTTCCCTCAGTCCCTGGCAACCACCATTTGATTCCTCTAAGTACTGCAGATAAATGGACTTGTAGAATATTGTCTTTATGATTAGTATTTCACTTAGCATAATGTTTGCAAGGTTTATGCCTGGTGGGGCTTCTGAATTTCCCTTTTTTTAAGACTGACTAATACTCCATTACATGTATATTCCATGTTGTACTTCTCCATCTCTTGATGGGTACTTCAGTTCCTTCCATGTTTATCTATTAGTAAGTAATACTACTATCAATATAGATATATGACTATCTTTGTGAGACCCTGCTTTCAATTCCTTAGGGTATATACCTAGAAGTGGACTTGCTGGATCATGTACTTGTATTTTTATATTTCGAAGAAACCACCCTACTGTTTTCATGGCAGTTGTGATATTTTACTTCTCTACCAGCAGTGCACAAAGATTCCAGTTTTTTCACATCTTTATCAATGCTTGTTTTCTTCAGATGGTATCTCATTGTAGGTTTGATTTGTGTTTCCCTAATTATTAGTGACGTTGAGCATCTTGTCATGTGTTTATTGGCTGTTTTTATATATTTGGAGAAATGTCTGTTCATGTCCTTTACCTGTGTCTTAAAAATTGTTTGCCTTTTTGTTGATTTTTTTTTTAATTTTTTTTTTTTTTTTAATAGAGGCATGCTTTATTTATTTATTTATTTATTTGTTCGTTCGTTTTTGTTTATACAAGCACTGGGTACAGTCAGAAGCGCGCGGGAGGGCGAGAGAATTCACCAGAGCCAGAGCGGGGAGCAGAGCAGGCAGAAGGACCGAAGTACACTGCTGAGGGGAGCATCGGGCGGCAGGAGAGGTCTGCGTGCCATGTGGGACCCTCCTCTGGTGGCCTGGGAGCAGCCGGGGATCGAACCGGCGCTGCAGAGGCCGCAGGCAGCTTCGCAACCCAGCGCTCAACCGCTGCGCCACCGGGGAGGCCCGCCTTTTTGTTGATTTTAAATTGAGTTAGGCTTTTGTTTTCTTTCTCTGTTCTGGATATTAATTTGTTAATAGATAAGATTTACAGTCCCCCCGTCCCATTCTGTCAGTTGCCTTTTTACTCTTGTTATTGTCTGTTGATGCACAGAACTTTAAAATTTTCATGAAATCTAACTTGTCTTTTTTTTTGCTGCTGCTGTCTGTGCCTTTGCTGTCATATCTTTGAAATTATTGCGAAATACTCCGGATTCACCGGAGACAGTGGGGAGCAGAGCAGGCGGATCTACTGAAGTACACTGCTGAGGGGAACAGTGGGCGAGGCAGGAGAGGTCTGCTGAGCCATGTGGGTCACCTCCCTGGCGGGGGATCAAACTGGTATTGCAGTAGCTGGCAGTAGCTGGCAGCAGCTTGTTAGCACTGAGACTTTAACCCTTGCATCATCAGGGGGGCCCTATTAAAAATCTTACTACAAGATATGTTAGGGCTTATTTCTGTTTGTTTTTTTTATTTTATACCATTGGTCTGTGACTTTCACCTCCTTGGTTAATTCCTAAGTGTTTTATTCTTTTTGATGATATTGTAATGGAATTGTTTTTATTGTTTCCTTTTCAGGCTATTCATTGTTTATATATAGAAATGCAGCTGATATTTGTGTGTTGACTTTGTATCTTCCTCCTTTGCTGACTTACAATTGGTTGTAAGTTTTTTGATGGAGTTTTTAGTAATTTCCACATGTGAGATCATATGGGCAAATAGTTATTTTTCTCTTTCCAGTTTGAATACCTTTTATTTCTCTTATTTGTCTAATTGCTTAGAACTTCCAATACCATGTTGAGTAGAAGTGAAAATGTGAGTGTAGGAAAAAACTACAGTTTTCCTCCTGTGTGTTAATCTTTCACAAAGAACACTTTACTGTGACTTCTGGTTACCAGCGTGTGGGGGTTTCCCCCCACCAAGCAGTTTTCAGTACATAAGCTGACTATATATAATTTAATTCAGTTCTGAATTACTAAATTAGTAATCAGTACTGGAGATAGTGACAGATACCACAGGTTAAGAGCTCAGTTCCATGAGTCTGTTCCCACCCTACTTCAGATTCCAGTCACAAGTTCCAGGTTACCCACAACTTCTGTTTGTGTTGTCTACAAGTTGGAGGTTCCTTCAGTCCCCTCCTCTACTTTGATTAATTTGCTAGCATGCTTATAGAATTCAGGGAAGCACGTGGGTATATTTACCAGTTCATTAAAGGATATGCTAAAGAATATAAATGAAGCCAGATGAAGAGATATGGAGCATGAGTTCTGGGAGAGTCCTAAATGTGAAACTTCTGCCCCTGTGGATTTGGGGTATGTTACTCTGCTGTGTAGATTTTTCTTTTTTTTTTAAAAGATTTATTTATTTATGCATGCAAGAATTGGGGTACAGGCCAGAGGTGTGGAGGGTGAGAGGATTCACCAGAAACAGAGTGGGGAATAGAACAGGCAGACTGACTGAAATACACTCTGAGGGGAGCAGTGGGTGAGACAGGAGAGGTCTGCTGCGCCATGTGGGTAGCTCCCTGGCCAGGTATTGAACTCGTGCTGCAGAGGCTGTGGATAATTTCATAGGTTGCATCTTAACCCCTTGCGCCATCAGGGAGGCCCTGCTAGTATAGATTTGTTCACCAATTTGGAAGCTCATTGAACTCCCTTACTATTGGAAGTTTTATAGAGGCTTTTTTACATAGGCATGATCAATTATTAACCCCATCTCTATCTTTCCTTCTCTAGAAAATTGGTGTTGGGGTAGGGGGCAATTAATTTCAACCTTTAATCAGTGCTTTATCTTTTTGGTGACCACTCTTTATTTAGGAGCACTCCAGGATCCCACCCAGAGTCACTTAATGAGAACAGAAGTTGCTCCTAGTACTCTTACAAGATTTTAAGTATGTTAGGAGCTCTGGATGCTAGGAACTGGGAACAGAGACCAATGTGTATATTTTCTGTTACATCACAGTGGACATCCTTGCCTTGTCCCTAATATTAGAGTTTTTCACTATCACATATGATGTTGCCTATATGTATAAGCTTAAGCTCTTCCCAGGTCTTTTCTAAACGTTTCTCTTCCCATACACGATTACTTTCTAATATTCCCAGCTTATGTGGTTGTTTTCCAATGTCCGGTTCTTTGATGTTGTCCAAGATTTTCCTTGGAAGTAACAACTTTTCTATAGATTCCGGAGATTCAAAATATTTATGCAGGTTCTGCCAATTCAATTGTTGTCTATTTTGGGAGACAGATTCTTTGGGAGACAGATGCTTCCTACTTTGTCATTTCCCCATAATCTTCTGGAATATATTTTGAAATCAGGAAGTTTTAGGCTTCTAGTTTCATGCTTTTTAAAGATTGGCTTGCTTTTCAGCCTTCCTTGAGATTCCATATTTTAGCATGGATTTTTCCGTTTTTGTAAAAAGTAATATTGCAATTTTGATAGGGATAATATTGAATCTGTAGGTGGTTTGGTTGTTATTGACATCTTAATATTAAGTCTTTTAATCTATGAACATGAATGTTTTTCCATTTATCTGTACCTTTTATGTCTTTCAAGTTAATTTCATTTACTTCACATATGTAATCATTACCATTATCCACCTGGGTTCAATGAAGTCTATTTCATTTTCTTTAAATGCTTATATTATGAATAAATTACATAAATAAGAATAAAAAAGAGATGGTGAAAACATTTGAATTACACACTTTTTTTTAAAAGATTTATTTATTTATTTATTTATTTATTTATTTATTTATTTATGTATGTATGTATGTATGTATGTAAGCACTGGGTACAGTCAGAAGTGCGAGAGGGTGAGAGAATTCACCAGAGCTAGAGCAGGGAGCAGAACAGGCAGACTGACAAAGTATACTGTTGAGGGGAACAGTGGGCGCGGCAGGAGAGGTTTGCGTGCCATGTGGGACCCTCGCCCACAGCCGGGGATTGAACCGGCGCTGCAGAGGCTGTGGGCAGCTTCGCAGCCCAGTGCTCAACCACTGCGCCACCGAGGAGGCCCATGAATTACACATTTTAATAATTTAACACAGCAAACTTCTGTGACAGGTACATTCTGGCAAACATACAACAAGGATGAGAGAATATTTTTATATGTCCTTTTAGTAAAATGAGATGATACTACAGGTTCTTATCACATAATATTGTACAAGAAAAGCCTTACTATTGAATAACTAACTGAATGAAAGTATCTTATTTCCTTTTTGTCCTTAAAGTGTGTTGTTCATTCATTGAGTCTTACTTTTCCTTCTAGTTTTAATGAGGTATAATTGACATATAATATTATTTAGTTTTAGGTATACAACATAGTGATTTGATATATGCCTATGTCGTGAAGTCACTGATATTTTTTTCAAAAATTTATTTATTCATACAAGAGCTGGGGTACAGGCCAGAGATGCGGGGGGTGAGAGGATTCACCGGATACAGAGTGGGGAACAGAACAAGCAGACTGACTGAAATACACTGCTGAGAGTAGCAGCGGGCAAGGCAGGAGAGGTCTGCTGCACCATGTGGGTTGCTCCTGGCCGCCTGGGGATTGAACTTGGGCTGCAGAGGCTGCAGATTGCTTCATAGTGCGGTGCTTAACCCCTTGTGCCACCAGGGAGGCCCACTGATTTTTGTAAGGTTTTTTGTAAGGTTTTTTATATATAGTATCATCATCTAACACACATAGTTGGAGACTTTATTTCTATGATGAGTTGCACCATCATTATTAGTGGGGAGTGCGGCTATTAGGCTTTTACATTCGCATTCTGATTCATCAGTAATAGTGAAAGAATTTATGTCACTTTTGTTGTCTTTGTTCTGAACAGTAGAAAATGAGAAACTTGGAGTTGTCAGCAGTACTCAGTGAAAACTAAAAGACAACAAAACTAATCCAATAACTTATATCCTTCTGATAGTGCTTGTGCAGTGCAGTAAGAAAACTGAAGATGACTTCTTCATTTCATTGTTGTATCATGCTTCTAGATGGTTTAGTCATTTTTTTGTTATTTTAGTTTTTGAAAGTATAATTGGAAGTAATTGGTGGGTAATGATGGGTAAGTAACAAAGTATTTCAAGATAGAGAAAAAGAATATGAAGATCCCATGATATATTCTAGATTAATAAAAGGAGCCAGTGGACCCAAATAGTAATTGCAACATAGATTGAATTTTATTGTTTTTTAAAAACAAGTGTAAATTTTCTCTCCCCCTTTATAAAACCTCTAAGAGTAAAAGTTTTGAGATATCCTTAAAAAATAGAATTTTCAAGATTGAAACCCAACTGAAACTAGGTCTAGTGGATCTTAATGGAACATTGAGGGTTAAAATGGTAGTCATTTGTTGTACAGAAAAAAAAGTTTTTGGTGAGGTAATTTTGAGTTAACTGAAAAAAAATTCCTTATCTTTAAGGCTTTAGGGGACCAGATACTATGTGTAAATCGTCCTGATAAGAAGAAAGTTCTTTTCTTCAATGATAAGAGCTGTCAGTTTACTGTGGATGAAGGTAAGCCTTTTTGTATTCGAATTTCCTACCTTTGCAAACATACTACAAATTTAAGGTGACAGAATTTATAATATTTTAATATTTAAATCTGCTTTTTTTCACTTCTTAGAACAGAAATATCTAACATTGTTAATCAGAGTGAAATTCGAAATGTGTAATTTGAATGACTTTTAGGTTGTACTCATGGTTATGAAAGTTCATGATTTCTTATTCTTATAGTTCATCTGTACCAAATAGGAGTTTACTTCTTTATTTCTGTTAGTTTACAAATATGATTTCCTATCCTGTTAAGAAAATTTGATGCAGTATGGGGAAAAGGATAAACTTTGTTAGTGACAGATATTCTCTAAAATTACTTAAAAATCTTTTAATTATCAAATAGGAGGAGGATTTTTTTTTTCTTTCTTGCAATTATAGGGTCGAATGTTAAATTATATATTGAGTCATTGACTAAATGTATGATGTCTGTCTTTTTGGATTACAGTTTTAAATACTTGTCAATATTTGTCATGTAAAAAGTGAAAAAAAAGTTTTAGTCTGAGAAATTTCTTTGCTATGTAAGTAGAATTCTCCTTTAAACAAATAAGGTGTTTTCTTTAAACTTGTACCAATTTTGAAGTTTTATAAAATAGCAAGAATTGAACATTAGTTTATAAATTTTCAAAAGTAATACAAACAGTAAATATTTTAACAATTTAAAAGTAGTAAATAGAATAGTAATGTTAGATTCAAAGTAGTAAGATTTTTGCTGTGCCAACCCACTAGTCATATTTACCCTTCTTTATGGCACTAAGTAAAAAGAGATTTTATTGAATTGATAGTTTTGTATAAGAAATGCATTTATAGGTGTTCTCCCTTTACTAGTCTAAATGTGCCTTGATTATGATTTGTAATTTGCATAATAAACGTAAGGTTTTTTGTTTATGTGACTGTAAAAGTTCGGATGTGTGGTACTTGTAAAGTTCAGTCAGTTGAAGTTACTTAGAGGATCTTGATTTTAGAAAATGGAATGTGTTTTGTGAAAATCCTGATTGACCGTACCTTGTATGTAGTTGGTTTTCATTAAAAGTTTGTTAAGTAAAAATTTAGAGTATGGGCCTCCCCTGGTGGCGCAGTGGTTGAGCACTGGGCTGCAAAGCTGCCCACAGCCTCTGCAGCGCCAGTTCGATCCCCGGCCGCTGGGCGAGGGTCCCACAAGGCATGCAGACCTCTCCTGCTGCCCTCTGCTCCCCTCAGCAGTGTATTTCGTCAGTCTGCCTGTTCTGCTCCCCGCTCTGGCTCTGTTGAATTTTCTCACCTTCCCGCATCTCTGACTGTACCCAGTGCTTGTATAAATAAATAAATAAATCTTTAAAAAAAAATTTACAGAGTATTTCCTTTCTTTATTGCTGCCCCTTCTAACAATAGGATAAACTCTGTGTGTAAGCAAGTTACTAAACTTTCACATGTAATGATTGTACCCACTTAAGAAAGGTATGGTAACTGCTTATCTATCTTTTAGAACTTTTGAGTTTCCTGTATGTAGGATTTTGCTTTTATGTAAACTTTCATAATTTCTAATTGATTTCTTGTTTTAAAAGTATATCTTTAAGATTTTTAAGATCCTTTCAGATTTAAAACTGACAACTGATTCTTTCAGTCTTAGGCACGCAGGCCATTTGAAAAAGAATTTGTAGTATTAAAAAAAAACCATCAAAAAAAGTATCACATGTTTAAATAGTAAAGAAGATCTTATAATAAAAAGCAACTGTGCTTTTTTCCCCCTAGTTCTAGTGCCTTTCTTTTGTGGCAGCTCCTAACTGGTTTTATTTTTTTTTTGCCATATTGCTATGTTATGTGCTTATAACTGTTTCATGATTTTCAGCTTGAAGCATTGCTAATGAACTTACCTTTCCCGTTTCCAACATTTCTCTATATAGAATATGACTAGTTTTAGTTTTCCTGCCATTTATCTTTGCCCTTTCAGGAAGCAACAAACATCTCAGTGGTTATTTTATTAAGTCAGCTCTGCAGATGGCAGCATAGTATAGCAGACCTGGTCTGTAAGCAGATGTTTAAGTTGAGGCAAGTGCATGATAGCTGCAGTGGCTCTGTGTAAGAGTAGTATGAAACTAGAATTTCTTGATAATATTTTATTGGAGAAATTTCAATTGTGTATGTTGTTTTTAGCAGTTTTCATATATTAAGACATTATTAAGCTTTGTGCACTCTTTCTGTGGATACCATTGTTTTAACTTTGCTTATTAGCCTTTTCTTTGTGCATCTTTTACCTGTGTTTCTATTCCTTAATATTACCTGTTTTTATTTGCCATTTTATATAACCTTTGTTGGCTTAAACTCTTCCATCTCCTTATTACTTGACTGATAAGGACAGTATGAGGATGCAACCCTGCCATTATAAAAGTAATCATGTATACCTTTTTTTTAAAGATTTATTTATGCATACAAGAACTGGAGTACAAGACAGAGGTGTGGGGGGTGAGAGGATTCACCAGAGACAGAGTGGGAAGCAGAACAGGCAGATTTACTGAAATACACTGGTCAGGGGAGCAGTGGGTGAGTCAGGAGAGGTCTGCTGTACTATGTGGGTAGCTCCCTGGCTGGGGATTGAACTTGTGCTGCAGTGGCTGTGGATACCTTCATAGGTTGCGTCTTAACCCCATGTGCCACCAGGGAGGCCCCAATTGTATACTTTTTAATAAAATTCTACATATTTTGAGGTAAGTTCAGTAAATAGCTTATAATTATTTTTCTAGTTTCCATCACAGATATTCTGTAAATGCTATATGCTTGCTTAGGTATTATATTTTTTAGGTGTACATGATGAATGGATTTTTAAATATTTACCATTGTTGCAGCAAGTATCACATACCTTCACATTGGATATGTGTGTATATTTTTTTTATATCAGTGAAATAGCCATGTAGATTAGGAAGATATTAGGAAGGTAATGATGAATTATTTTTGCAGTTTTAAAGATCTTTGTTATTGCTGACTTATTTAACATGTGATGATACGTGTTACTAGGTTTCTGAATATTGAACAATTCTTATACTCCTATAATAATCCTTTGTCTTTTTGGATTCTTTTTACTAATATATTTTAAGAATTTTTGTTTTAGTATGGTAAGCTTTCACTTTAATGAAAGCTTTTGATTTGTAAGTAATGCTGAATTCATAAAAATTAGTTTTTTTATCCTCCTCCCTTTCCTAATTTTCCTCTCCTTTATGAGAATGTTAACTTAAAGATTATAAATCAATGTATCTATGTATAAATCAGTGAATCAGTGTATCTAACTTGCTTTTTTCACGTTTTTAATACCTTCTTTGGTGATGGCCACCTTTAAGTTTTTATCTTGTATATCAGTTTTGGTAAATGTTTTCCTAAAAATCATTATCTATTTGAAAATTACAGTTTGTTTATTTAACTGTCCCTCCACCAAGGCACCTGTGCCTGTACCCCATCTGCTTCATTCTTCCATCTCCCCCACCCCAGCACAAAAGAACTGAAATACTTTGCAAATTTTTATTTAACAAACTTTTACTGAAAGCTTATTATGTACAAGGTACTCTCAGTCAGGATTTTCACAAATAGGAGAAAGGGTGGAAAATTTGTTTTAATAGCATACAATTGTGCAGAGTATGGTACTACAGCTTAATTTTTTTTTCTTTTTTATTGCTAACTTTGTATTTTGGCTTTCTCTTCATTGTTATGCTAACTTTTGTGTCATTTTACTATTTTTTTATTTAAAAGAAAATATAATCTTAACAGTTCACCCTTTATATGTTTTTTGACTGCTTCATCTGAGCAGTATTGAGAACACAATAACATCTTTTGTCACTTTTATATTTTGTTAATTTTGCCTGTACCTCCTATAGTTACTGCTTTGTCTGCATTCCTACAGAGTATTTGGTTATAAATGTTATCGACAGTCATAGTTTAAAGATTATAGCAATAATTATTACAAAGTGTTCCTCTTAATTTTGTTAAATATTATTTTACTTGGAATGCTCCTTTATCTCACATTGTCATAATTCCTTGCTTTTTTAAGCTGACATATTTTGCCCATTCATTTACTTTATGCTTGTTTTCTTGTGTTTTAGGTATCTTATAGAAACATATCATTGGTTTTAAATTTTTGAAAAAGTTCTGAAACCTCATTTTATATTTACTGTATTATGTGAAGTATTCTCCCATTATTTGTTTGGGACTGTATAATTGTTTTGGTTCTTTGACATAGAAAATGGTTTTCTTTTTATCTTAAAGCAGTCTGATTAAACATAAAGGTATTAGCTTATAAGCTTCAGTCTCTTGTTACTTTCCTTTTTTTATAGCAGCATGTTTTTTTCCTGAGTTGAAGCGTTTTTTAAAAATTTAACAACTTACTGCATATGGTAGAGTTTCCAGGAGTACATTTTCTCACCATACCATCATAAATATCCAGTCATCATTCACTGCCAACTAATCAGCCCTTTCTACTTGTTTTTTCCTCCCTCTGTCCCCTTTGGTAACCACCATTCTGTTGTCATTCTAAGGTTTTGTTTTTATCTTCTTTGTATTCCATAGGGAATGACATCATGGGGTATTTTTCTCCTTCTGACTGATTATACTTAGCATAATCCCCTTAAGGTCCATTCATATTGTCACAAATGGCAAGAATTTTTTTTTAATGACCCAGTAGTATTCCATTGTATTTATTTACATCTATATATGTACATCTTCTTTATCCATTTCGAACAGTTGGGTTGTTTCCATATCTTGGCTTTTGTGAACAGCTTTAATAGTTTTTTAACCTTGACAGTTGATATTTTCTGGGATTTTTTTTTAACAATCTTTTATTTATTCATGAACCTATTTAACAAGTATTTATTGGCCTCTGGTTGTATGCCTCTATCATTTGGCTACATGTAGTGGATACAGTAATGAAGAAAATATACTAGTCTAATTTACATTTATCCTAAAGGGGAGAAATAGACAGTATATAGAATAAAAAATGATTA